CTTGCATGGGCACTTGTAGCACGTGCACAGTTGTATCGCGTTCTTAACAAATGATAAAAGAAAACTAATTGGAACATATTTTTTTCGGTTAGTAGATGAGTTTGTACACAGCCTTGACGATTTTGCTTTTCCGCTTAAATGTTTTAGGGTTTTTCCGTCGTTTGGGGCCATTTCTTGCGATTGCATTTCGCATCCCTACATGTTATATATATCCTTTTACACGTGATTTTACGATTGATCATTAATTTTCGGCATTGAAGCAGCTGAAGTAAACCAGGACAATAATTATAAATTATTATAATACAAAATAAGGAAATACGTTTTATCGTCTTGCCATGAGCGTTGGACAAAAAAATCGAGTCCTCCCCAGGAATAGAACCTCAGATCTTTGGATTACGCGTTCAGACACTCCATTACTACAACTATAATATAAGTTATCAAAACGTAAGCTTAATATGAAATTTCTTCACTTGATAATTATAAAACCTGCTAGCCTTCTACGTTTATTTTCTGAAGGATCACCACTTTTACAACCCTCTTCTCCTGGTGTAATGTCTGCAAAAGAGAAAAGAAATTTATACCGTTATGAGAATTAAAATGCGCTGACGAGTATGATATTGAAGGGATGAATATGCACACGATGCCAAGTTTCTAACACCACACAAACTCAAGTTCAGTTTCCCTGGCATGAAAGGATTAAGATAATTAATTTTTACTGAATGACTTATTTCCATTCATTTCCCAACACCAAAGTAAGGAAGCTCTTACAATGCTTCTAGATAAGATATAGACCTGTTTTATCATTTAACAAACATAATATAGACATATAGGGAAAATCAACGCGGCTATTTTTCTAGATCTAAAGAAAGCTTTCGATATCGTTGACCACAAAATTCCTCTATCTAAGCTTGACCTTTATGTTATATCTGGGAATTCATTAAAATGGTTCAGTGGTACTTGGAGAACCGCACACAACAATGCTCAGTTAGTGGGTCCTTGTCTGACAGCCGTGTACTAACCTGTGGTGTCCCTCGGGGGAGGGGGGGTGAGGGGCCATCCTCCGTGCACTGTTATTCTTATCCTACATGAATGACCTTCCAAATTGTTTGTCAAACTGTGAACCGAGGATGTTCGCTGATGACACGCATCTTACATATGCAGATAATGATACAAGTAACATTGAATCATGTCTTAGTGAGGACCTCTTGAATATGAACGCAAACAAACGTACTAAAACAGAATATATGCTGACAGGATGTGGCCCAAGGCTTAATACCCTTACTGCTCCCCATCAGTCACAAAGGACGTCATTCGGGTGGAACAGGTTTCAACAAAATCACTTGGTGTAACAATTGACGACAAACTTTGCTGGAATTGCCACATTGAAAAACTAACCAAAAAGATCGCTTGTGGAATCGGGGACATGAAACGTGTTAGCAACCTGATTCCCCAAGCGACCTTGCATCTTATATACCAAGCTTTAGCACAATCTCACTTTGACTGCGGCAGTACTGTTGGGGGAGCCTGTGGAAAAATTGCAGAATAGAGCAGCTCGCATTCTGACATTTTCGAATTATGACGCCGAACTATTTAACTTCGGATTAAGCAATTCAATTAATTTAGTTCAGTGTCTGAAATGGGGTAAGGTTCCAAAATGAGGATTTCACACTCTCACTTAGTTTTAACCTGCCGCACCCTATCTCAACAACAACAAAAACAGCCAAAAGCCTCAAAACAAGTATAGAGGGTGAAGTATTTTTTAATTTAAATTTAAACAGCGGCATGGAAGGAAACACCAAAAGGTATCTTCTCTTACAAACAGTGACAGAAAACAATAAAAGGATCAACATTTCAAGTTATGCTATACCAACAAGGGCTCTCTGAGCTGTTGTTTTAAGATAAACAAGTTTACTTCGGTTATCCTACATTTCACTTTGCTAGAGTCTTAACCTAACATTACTCAAAAACTAGCTCTGCAAGTAATCAAGAACGTCTGTAGTTCTTGAATTCAGTCGAAAGGCAATCACAACAATTCAAGGGCTTATTTAAGAAATAAAACATAATAGTCGTCCTAACAGCAAAAGGAAATGATTTCTTATACACAATTAAATGAATTGCTTTCAATCAACACAGAAAATATGCTTTTGAATTGTTCGTAAGTTAAATTAGCCATATTCTTGGGAAAGACAATTTCGCACAAGCACGTGGATGTGTTAGTGCTTTCATTATCAGGGCTAACTTCCACAAACACAACACCTCTTGCGGGCTTCATCTCTCCACCAGTACAAAACTTTAATAATTGCTTGAACTCTGTATATGAAGAACCGTTAGATAAGTGTGGGAACAGAACTGAAAAATAATTGACAATTTACTAGCTAGAGTTTTCATTTACCTTATATAGTTGCATTACAAAACACAGTCGCATTAAGATATGCACTATTAATGATCCAGGGAACACATGCACTAGAATGTATATAATTCAAGCTCGTAAAAAATTGCCTAATGTTCATGCAGCGAATTGACTGGGTATGTCCTGATTGGACTTTGGACGTTGTTTTCATAGTACGTGATGGAATGTAAGTTGTTTGGCGAGTGTGTTGTGAGAAAAGGAGCGATAAAAACACGTTTTTTCTTAAAAATTATACGATAAAAATAAATGCGAACCTTTCATACCCCGAGAATCTCGACCTCACACGACGAGGCTCCTGCAAAGGCCACGATCATAAAACTTAGCAAATGAGCCCAAAATTTCTGGTTAATTTCATTCTTTATGCAAAGTCCCCTGATTCTATGACATTATGTACAAGAAAACAATACCAGACGCTATGATTGGTGCATGATATCCAAATGTTGTGATATGATTGGTGTGAGATACATACCCTAATGCGGCAATCTGATTGGAGCAAGATACATACCCTAATGCAGCGATCTGATTGGTGCGAGCAACATAATACTCTACACGCTGACATAGAGTTATTTTTTGAAATTTTTTTGGACAATTTATCCCCTTTAGATTTTAGATATGCTCGAAGGGGAAAAAAGATAAAGCTAAAAGCGTTCAGGAAGCCCGTTACTTGAGGATGCAAATTATGACCTTGAAAGGAACGACTCGAACGTTTAAATTTGCGTAATTTTGCCGCAAAATTTATATCAAATAGTTGAAAAAGGCTTCGAAATTAATGTATCCTTCACAGAATTAGGAGTAAGTTTCCCACTGGAGGGAACAAACAGAGCCTGCAATAGTGCAGGTTTTGCACGTATTGCATTTAATACTTCAATGGTCTCCAAACATAGCATCAGACACCAGGTCAGCAGGATCTATATCGAGCCTGATACTGAGTCTTAATGCGATTTTGACCAACAGGGCCTTCAGCACAGTTGCGAGAGATTCGTCTGTAAGGAAATGGAACATATTATAAAAGTAATCAAAATTCTAGTTATTCGGTTCCTACACCCTATGCATGGCATGAAATGCAGATAAAAAAAAATTCAACCCACCAGTTTTGCCAGCACTATGAGAGAGAAGTGTCAACTGTCTCCTTTAGCTCAATTGAGTCGTGCACAGCCTCTTTCATGAGTTTGATGTCACTACTGGGGAACATTTCCATCAAAGTTCCTTCATCAGCCAGTCATCATTAATAAACTCTATGTCAACAGAAGACGATGGTCCAGCTCCTTCAGTGTGGCTGTCACAGAGGTTACTTATGAGAGTACTTGAAGATGGCAACGTAACTCCTCTGGTGTGACTGTCACTGAAGTTATTTGCAATGGTGCTCGAAGGTTACCGGGGACCATGCTTGACTGTGCTGCCTCATCATCGTACTTAACCCGTTGACTCCTTCAAGGGATTACCACGTAACTTCTTGCAATGATATGCATACTTTATCCAGCAAACAGGCAATGAGAATACTCAAACTTATCAGGTAGACGTTGTCGTCTTGATCTAACACCAAATTCTCGTATTTAATTAAAAAGGAAGTCTGTAACAACTAGAGGGGAGAATGAACAATCAGACCTTGGGATTTAAAGGGTTAATAAAGACATCATCATTTGTCTTTCCGTTAAAAATGTTTCGATAAATTAAAATATCCGCACAAAGGAAAAGTACGATATTGCACAATAACAGAAAAAGAATTGTTATTTCCATGTGAAATATACATGCATCGTGCATCACCCTTCGATGAGAAAGGAAACGGTACAAATGTACATATTATATATATGCGTATGTGTGTGTGTATGTGTGTGTATGTTTTTGCGTGTGGATAAAATAACTGGACTGTAAATATTACAGTGTTTTCTGTTGCATTAAATTCTCTTCCTACTACACTTTATTGGCAGGCGAACGACCACAGCGTGTCACTGTTTATCGAAGCAACGTCAAAAAAGATGTCATTAAAATATTTAGCGACCCAAGAATTTTCAGCTACAGTTTTGATGTGGTTGCTAATAGCGTTCCCCCTATCTTTGTACAAAGGGTTCAATATTTTTCGATAGCTGATATGGTAGTAAAACGTTGCATTGCGAACCACGCAAATAACTAATAAAGACTTATTGCGGATAACTCATTGTTTTGAAAGAAAAAATGTTCAAGGAAAGGGAACATTGGAAATTTTGTTTCATGGTTTTATTACAGTTCAAATAAGCTAACAGTATACGTCATCAGTTTCTTGACTGTTACATGTTAACAAATGTTGCACATGGATTGTATGAAATTAATAAAAACCTAACAAAAGGAAGTGTTCATCTTCGTCATGGAAAGCCATCACAAAGTGTCCTTATCGATGAAATTCCACCAAACACACATAATTACACCAAATATGAAGTGTATGAAAGTGTCTAAAATATTCAGTCAATAAGAAGTACTGGACATAAGTGAGAAGAGGGTGGGGGGAAGGGTTGGCGGGGGGTTAGCACCCCAGAAGGGTTACGCATGTCCCAGGTCTCTTACATTTTGCCTATTTCTTCGTGTACAGTGACATACAAAGTTGTTGTTCATCTGAGCAACCACTTTGCGGAGGTCGATAGCAGCATCTCTCCTCTGCAAGATACAATTCGTCCAAGTCGACGTCCACCGTATAGTTCCTTATACCGGACACTTCCGGGAAAAAGAATGGTACATGAGGCCTCCCAGATGGGGGTTTTAAGTTTGTTAAAGGTCGAATTCGATGGAGATTCCACAGTCCTGTTTCCCGATGAAGTTCAACTCGCAATCTAAGCTTGAAACAAAACTTCAGACACTCTTCAGTACAGTCATTGTCATGATAAAGACAGCAGCTCCTCATGTCTTCCACCATCTGGTACAGTCTTTTCCCAGTATACTCCACTAGGCCTCGATTCGATGGTTAAAAATCTCATTTTTAACAGATGGAACTGTCATCCCCCGCTCAATCATCTTCGCCATCTCGCCTTTGCACCGCTGCAACATATCCATTCTCAGTTCCACAATCAGCTCTTCTAACCTTTGCAGTTCCTCCAAGTTGCCGGACACAGTCAACAAAGTACCGAGAAATAACGGTAGGATCATTGTTGGTGTATCCAACGTCAAGCCATAAAAATCACCAACTAAATCCATGGATGGCTCCGTGGATACAAAAACCAAACGGCTTCAATTTATCATAGCCATCTATGTGCCACAAATGATTGGGCCCCTTGGTTATGTATCGCCTCCATTTTAGCCTACGCCTTGTTCTTAACTTACCCTCCGCTGGATGAAGGATATTCAATAACTCCAGAACGTTCTCTTTGCCAACAACAAGCCGGTGGTCGTTGACTAAACGTTGAGTCATTTGCTTGTATCCGATGTTACAACCGCTTGCTCTGAGATCTTCTTCCAGAGCTTGAACAATCTGGCGTTTCTTCTTCGTCCGAGTCCCTTGGCTTTTAAAATCCTTTTTAACTGTCTGAGGCTCAAGCCGATGTAACGACTGAATACAAGAAACAACAAGATCTCTGTATACTCCAGCCCAAGATGACAATAGCTTTGAATTAAGTCATGACGTTAAGCGGGTATTCTTGCGATGTAGTAATGTAGTTTGCAAGTCGGACACCATCGCATGTGGACGTTTTCAAATCAAATGTTAGAATTAGAAGCACGGCGAAAGCGCTGATCATTTTGGCGTCCCAGTAAAGAGAAAATTTTCTCGTTTTAACAACGATATCAATCCGTAGGGTTTGCCAAGTCCACAGCAGTAACTAGATTGGGGTGAGCCACCTTCCACAGAAAGTCGGGAAAAAACGGGAAAAAGGTTGGGAAAAAGTCGGGAAAAAAGTCGGGAAAAAAGTCGGGAAAAAAGTCGGGAAAAAAGTCGGGAAAAAAGTCGGGAAAAAAGTCGGGAAAAAAGTCGAGAAAAAAGTCGGGGAAAAAAGTCGGGGAAAAAAGTCGGGAAATAAATCGGGAAAAAAGTTGAGAAAAAGTCGGGAAAAGGTCGGGAATAAGTCGGAAAAAAATTCGGGGAGAAAGTCGAGAAAAAAGTTTGGAAAAAAGTAGACGAAAAAGTCGGAAAAAAACTGAAATAATTGTCGAGAAAAAAATCGAGAAAAAAGTCAGGAAAAAAGTCAGGAAAACAGTCGAGGAAAAAGTCGAGAAAAAAGTCGAGGAAAGAGTCGAAGAAAAAGTCGAGGAAAAAGTCGAGAAAAACGTCGGGAAAAAAGACGGAACGCGTGCAAAACTTAAGGGGATATTCAAAATTGAAAGTGTAATTTAATGGCATTTGGTGAGCTCCGTTATTTTTTTACTTATTTCGATGGAGCTTTGCGTATTTCCATCCCTTTTCATGCATGGTTTTGGTTGACAAAGTTTTATTCTTCAATTAAACTGCAGCTCTATCATTTTTAAATTTGATCTTCCACTTAGTGATAGGAAAGAACCTCTTTACACTGGGTCTGTTATTCTGTTAACATCTCAGTCCATCGACAGCACGTGGTTAAAATGAAAGGGTTGCCTACCTCCGTAGGGAAATAATAAACAATGTTACCTATGTATACAAGCTTTTATTGTTTAATCTGGCAATAATAGCATCTGGTGAAAGATCGTCCTCTCCTGCCCTATGATTAAATATCTTATTTCCGCGCCTATTTAAAATTTCGGTTAAAAGGAGAGGCGCTTATTGGGAGGAGGGCGATTGATCGAAGGGGGCCACTTATTAAGAAACTATTTCCCTGTACTGATTCCGCTGTAGTTGAAGGCTAAAAAGTTATAAATGAAGTGACAATAGAAACAGGTTTTCTTTGTATCTCTACTATTAAAGAAAGCGAGGAAGGAGGGGTCGGCGCTTATTCGAGAAGAGCGCTTGTTTGACATAACGACCTAAAGTGTGGGCACTAATTTGGGGAGGGCGCTTCTAAGAGTGTGGGCACTAGTTGGGGGAGGGCGCGTAAAGGAGCGTGGGCGCTTATTCGAGGAAATATGGTACTTGGTTTCCTTTTTTAACGATATTGCAACATCGATTGAGGAACTAGGAAATAATTATATAAACAGTCATTAAGAACTAACTCGTAGACTTACTGATCGTCACAGTAAGAGCAGAAATTAAGGAATCTTTCCAAAAATATGGCATGCAGTAAATGTCAGCCAGTCCTTCTGTTTTTTTTTTCCGACTGGCTGTACGGGATGTTTCGTCAATTTGTAATCGGTCTGATACACCGTTCATGTACCGTTGACCAGATCAAAGTATTCTCTTCATTTCAGTATAAATACACGATTTACTTCCCTCACTTAATGGATTTTTTCTCCTTCTCGTTTCATGAAATGCATGTCAAACATGATTCATAAAACGGTTTTTCAGTACATCACAATTCAAAAATGAAAAATGGTGGATTTTGGAGATTACACAAATTTCTTGCGACCCCCTCCCCCTCTAGTTTGTAAATTGATGCAGCTGACTAAGGCTTTTCTGACAGGAAACCATTCTGAGGATAGATGTATCTTGCAGAGGAGAGATGCTGCTATCGACCTCCGCAAGGTGGTTGCTCAGATGAACTTACCCAGTTATCAGAAATCATGAGGGAAAAAAGTTTATAATTTCCTCGCATACATGATCTTATCCCTGAAAAATCAGCATTAATGACTCAATATATAAAAATCACGAGATAGATTTAGTATCTTACAATGTGCATAGTTGCATAGTGTACAGCCACAATAGCACTATAACTTAACTGTCACTCGCTTGACAGTTTTGAGAGAACAACCAATACAATACTGAGTTAAATTATTTTACATTTCAGAGTCAAGGAAATACTTGTCAAACACAGTCTCCCTTCTTTTGCCACACTCAACAGAGTTTTAAAAGCTTTGACGACGAAATGTCAACCACATTGCACTATTTTTACATTAATCTCAAATGGAATGTTTGAAAATTAAGGCAATCAGAAGCCTGTCCTGTATTAAAAAAACAGCTAAATTTGTTCACAGCATGTTGAATGCCATGAAAATAAAAATACCGATCCTAAATCACGAAATTTATCTTCACATTATTTTTTTGGTTTTGCTCTTCGCCACATTAAAATATTTAATAATTTATGGAGAATGGCTGCATTAATGACTTCTATTTTTTAATCAATAGAAATGAGAAAATTATCTGCACAGTCAGCCTGATGAAGTAATCAATTATCTGAGCAGGAAAAAACCAACCAAGGTAAATTAAAAAAGAAAAATTACAAAAATACCTCAGAGTCTCTAACTAAGTAACATGAAAACCAAATTTTGAAACTCAAAGCTGTAAATCAAAACTACAACCAACATAAGGAAACATCGTAAAATAGCCTAAAATCAAAATACATCCAAATCAACGATCAATTTCAAGGACAAGACACTCTGACTCCAGAGAAACATTCCACATGTTCTCACCGATATTGTGGAAGGGAGTCCCCATTTTGGTGAGGGTACCAATTTACCTAAGCTAAGTGATTCTAAAATATTTATTTCCTTATTTTTTATCCAACTGTTGATTGTTTGCTTATTTGATCACAACAATGAAGTCTCTTACCATTGGTCAGAAACCTACCAGACCAACCAATCACCTTGAAATGTGCCTTGTATAGTCAAACTTCCCAAACTTGTTTTCAAATTTCAATCAGAACAGTCCATACAATTTAGGTACTGACTTCTCTAACTGAACAGATCTGAAAGAATTCTCTCAATGGATGGACTGGTCTGACCAGCCAGTTCTGACCAATGGTAAGTTTCCCTAGTTAGAGGCAGTCTACTAAGCCAGTCCAGGTCAGCTAAGTTTCCAGGCAGGACTGAGGTTCCTCCTCGTCATCTGAGTGGGTAACTGATCCAGGATCTGGTTCTTGCTCTGATCCATGGAAGAAGCTCCAACGTTTTCTCCAGTATTCATCTGTTGGCCATTCTTCTTCAGGCTTGACATTCCCTTTGCGATCCTGTAATAAATCACAAACCAACACTCAACATCATCTTGTTAAACAACGTACACCTGAACTCACACTTATTTACCCTGGTTACTTTTTATACGAAGAGAAATTAGGCCAAGAGAACTTTTGAGTGAGTCATTTTAAAACAACTTTTATATTGAGGAACGTTCCTTGTAGCCTTACATCACAAGGCTCACCAAAATTTAGATATCATCCAATTATATCAATGGTGGGGCCCATACCGATTACTTTGTTAGAGAAATAAACTGAAGTGTTCAAGAAATATACCTTACATCATATGATGAACAAAAACTCATTCAGTGACTACCTTTCATACAGTCCTACAAGACAAGCTCATGCAGAGAATACAAGGTATACCTAAGTGTAACAAGATGGAAACAGTAGGGTGAATACCGCAAAAGAAGCAAACTGAAAAAATGTCTTATTTACATCGTAAACAGTCTTATCAGTTCTGCATTCTTATTACTTAGCGGGCTAACTGACAAAGTGATTTTAAAACACCGAGACTAGACTCGCCAGTTCTTCCATAAACACAGCACGAAATAAATGCAAACAACAAAGCGACAGCGATGTAAACAGCGAAATGAAAGTGTAACTACACTCCGCGGTATTTACAAAAGTCGCATAAAAAAAATTCAAAGCAGTTCAAATTCATTTATAAAACTGATTTGAACTGACTGGTGGTGACTCTTCATGAAACAAACTTTATTCTTGTTTTTATAAAAGCAATCGAAATATCGCATGTTACCAGTGACCCTTCGACGATGAATAGTTCCAAATTCAATCCAAACAATTGAATACACAGCTGGCAGAATTACAACTTCTTCAATTTCCTCAGCAGGATTAAAACAAGAACCGTAAAACTACGAAGCAATACATGGCAAAAATTCGACAAGAAAACGAACCGTTTGCGAGTCGCAGGTAATTTAGTGTTAACAACTGGGTTGAAAACGTAAATTAGTCACCGTAAAGGGTAAAAAAGCTGACGTTTCGAGCGTTAGCCCTTCGTCTATCGCTCTGACGAAGGGCTAACGCTCGAAACGTCAGCTTTTTTACCCTTTTCAACCCAGTTGTTAACACTAAATTACCTGCTATACTCTCCCACCGACGCAGCACCACAGTTTCTTTAGAAACTTACCCCTTTATTCGTTTGCGAGTCGGCTTGTTGTGACGAAATACAAAAGAATATTATGAAAGCATGATTAAAACGGAACGAAATTGAGCTGCGAATTACCCTTTGTCCAGCAATGCGGGTAATGGACTGGGCTAATCTTAAGGAATCTAAAGAAGATGCTTCATTTTAGTTCAACTTTGACTGTTAGACGCACACGTGTTTTTTGGAAATGTGCAAGTGTCTCTTGTGGCTTAGCGATGGCTACATCGCACTTGCTCC